AAAAAAACAACTCATCTGGATGGCTCACGCCTGTAATCCCACCACTTTGGGAGGCCCAGGCGGGTGGATCACAAGGTCAGGAGGTCAAGACCAGCCTGGCCAAGATGGCAAAATCCCATGTCTACTGTGATCTTGGCTCACTGCAACCTCCGCCTCCCCGGGTCAAGTAATTCCCTGCCTCAGTGTCTCGAGTAGCTGGGATTGCAGGCCCCGCCACCACTCCTGGCTAAAAATACAAAAAATATTAGCCAGGAGTGGTGGCGGGGCCTGCAATCCCAGCTACTCGAGACACTGAGGCAGGGAATTACTTGACCCGGGGAGGCGGAGGTTGCAGTGAGCCAAGATCACAATACTTCGCTCCAGCCTGGGTGACAGAGAGAGATTCCAGCTCAAAAAACAAAACAATCACCAATAAAGGGGGTATGTACAGCTAAAAGGTTTTGTACCCATTTTCAAATCTTACTATATTTGATCATTTTTCTGCCTGTTTCAATGCTGCTTATTCTTCACATAGAACTTGTCAGAGATAGTGTGGGCTTAGTGTGTTCCAAGTTGCACTGGTGGATATGCATAAGTCAGAGTCCATTGGTTTTGTTACAAGCATTGAAGGAAGAGTTAAGAATACCATATTCAGTAGGTTTTTTTTTTTTTTTTTGAGATGGAGTCTTGCTCAGCTGCCCAGGCTAGAGTGCAGTGGCAGAACCTCAGCTCACTGCAACCAGCATCTTCCGGGTTCAAGTGATTCTCCCGTCTCAGCCTCCTGAGTAGCTGGGATTGCAGGCACCCGCCATTGTGCCTGGCTAATTTTTGTATGTTAGTAGAGATGGGGTTTCACCATGTTGACCAGGCTGGTCTTGAACTCCTTACCTCAGGTGATCCAGCCACCTCAGCCTCCCAAAGTGCTAGGATTACAGGCTTGAGCCACCATCCCTGGCCAGTAGGTTTTTTTCTTATATGAATTTGTCAAAAATTTGGGTGGGTGGGTGGGTTGTGAGAGGTAGTTTAAAAGTTGAAAAACAACGCATGCTGGACTTCACGTTCCAACAAGGAAAGCGTGCTTTTGTGGCAAACTGAAAGGCTGGGAATTAAGGGTGATGAAATGCAGGCCTTCCGGCCCTCAGTCTGTTCCTGATTTCTGTTGTGGGAATCTGTTCTGAATCCAACTGCAAGTGGAAAACCCATCTTTGGCTGAGCAGCCGAAGAGGCCCTCCTGCCAATCCCCCAAATGTGCTGCTGAAACTTTGGCCCTGCAAGGCTGGATCGAGGGCTGTCTTCCCCAGATCTGTGCAGCTGTTAAGGTGGCTGTGATGGGAGTTTGACCGCCCTCTGCACTGCATTTTGGCAGTGACCTTGAGACCAGCCAGCTCACTGCAGCTGCCCTGCTCTGCTGCCACTTGCAATGCCAGGCAGCTAAGAGAGGTGGTGGGGGGCACAGCTCCTGGCCCTGCCTTTCTCAGTGTCTGGCAGGTGCCAGCTGTGGTGCCAGCTGTCCCACTGCCTACCACCCACTGGGTGTGGGGGCAGTCCAGGTGTGTGTGGGGAGATGGTGCCTTGTTCTACCCCTGGCTCAGGTCCCGATCCCTAGGAAGTGGGTGGCTCTGTCTGACCGCAAGTCTGGTGCACAGACCGGCCCCACATAGGGACTTGCTTGGCAGGTTGGTGGATCGATGCTCAGTGACAGTTGATCTTGGGAGACAGAAGAGCCAAAGTTGTCCTTTTATCCCAAAGATACGACTCCAGATTTTCCTTCTGGTAGGGAAGGAATTTTATTGGGAAATGAAGGTCATCGGAAATGCCCAGAGCAAGAGAGAAAATCCTTTCTCTCTAGTCACTCAGGGTGGCAAGTGTATTTTGAAAACTCCTCCCCTCTTTTTTATCCTCATCCCATCCTTTTCCTTTTCAGTGGCTTTATTGTTATTTTTTAATTCGCCATTGTCATTGGACATTTATTGACAGAAATCAAATTACTGTGTTTCTGGGCAAAGCGCCTGCTGCAAAGAGGTGTGGTTCCCGAGGAATGAGACAGGCAGCCCAACAGCTGAGCCTACACTGTCCTCACATAACCTCCCTGCCTTAAATATCGCCAATATTTAGCCTTGCCTTATAAAGTAAAAATGCACAATACCTTCCAGAGTTTCAGCAAGCCCAAATGCCCCCCAGGCTCGGTTATGTCTCCTGTACATTGGAGGCAGAGCAGCGCACCCCTCCCCCATGCAGACCTGCCCTCGGAGCCGCCAAGAGGTTACTAATCAGGGAGGCTCTGCCATCGATCCAATGGTGGTGACCTGGGGGATTTGTGTGCATTGTTTTTGCTGAAGCCTCCTGTGATTTCGGCGCGACCAGATCCTCTACAGCGAACTCCATGTCGCAGCTTGTGGCTGCCTGTGTCCTGTGGTGAGAGCCGAGCCGCACAGGAGATCCTTTGTCTAGGAAGGGCTAGGCTGAGAAGATCACTTTGGAGTTGCTAAGCTCTGCATTGCCATTGGCTGCACTCTTTGTGGGGCTGTTTTTGCAAAAGGCATGCCCAGCACGTCTACAGTGCTGGCAGGCCAGGGCTGCCTTTAAACACCATGATAATAATACCAAAAAGCAGTTTGCAGAACTGTTCCACTGTAGAGGCTTCCTCTGCAGAAGCAAGCAAGATGGCTACCTCGTGGGCTTCGCTGTGAAGAATGCAGAGGCTAATTAAGACAGACTTTAAGGGGAAAAAAGGGTATTTCCCTACTTCATCTTTATGCAAGATTTTTTTTTCAGTGACTTTTAAAGTATACATTTTACATAAGCTCTTTAGGTTCTGCCTAGCAAACATGTTGATGATTTTAAATGGTATAGTTTTACAGAGAATTAGTCAAAAATTTTGGGGATGTGGGAGCTAATTTTATTTCTTAAACAGAGGCTTATTTTGCAATTTGATTTTTTTTAGGTTATAAAGGAAAACAAGAGGCCCCAGAGGGAAAAGAAGCCCAAAATTTTAAAGGTAATCAGCTGTTGATTAAATAATATTTCATTATTTTTCCATTTCATATAATATTTTTTCTGCACTTGGGTAAATTTGGAGTACAGTATATGTGAATTCTCCCAGATTTTCAGTAGATGGATGAATTTCCACTCAACTAAAGTGTTTTCTCTCTCTCTCTCTTTTTTTTTTTGATGTGCTACATAATGTGCATATTAGCATCCTTTATTTTCAACTCCACACAAGTCTACAGAAGGAAAAGTTTGTATGCAGAGGGTTGTGAATAAAATTTGTTTTTCTTTATAGCTCCCTTTGTAGCATCTGCATTTGTGGGTTGCACCAGTGTGTAAACTTAAGCCCTCTAGAAGAAAGGCACTATTTGAAGTTGACAGCTATGATCCATTGTGATTTTAATAGACTGTTCATTAAAGGCTATTTTAAAATGTATGATTCTTTTCCAAAGAAAAAGGTCCTTAGAGATTTTAGTTAAACTTAATGTGTAAGTCATGGAGATCTTACATCCAAATTATAGTTGTTTAATCTCAAATTCTTATCATACCATCTTTAATTTTGGCTTTCATGGAGCTGTAAGAATATGCATGTTTTCTTTATTTTCTTTAGTTTGCCTGATGAGTATTTAGTAGTAACCTAATTCAGTTATAAGCTCACAGTCTGTGTTATGAGATTTGTACAGTGTTTAGAAGGGTTAATTTAAAAGCATATGGCATCACTAAAAGTTCAAGGCTAGCTTCAGTCTAGCAAATTAGGTGCTTATGTGTTTAAGATTTCAAGTGGTGTATTGCTATTACAAATGTAAGCCACCTTTGCAAGCCACCTTTTAAATGCAAGAAGAAATACTAAGCAATAAAATGACTTATCTTTAATTATTTTGTGTACCTTTAATTTAAAATATTTTTACTTAATCCTAGCTTTCCTTTTTTACATATAAAGTTTTAGCAGTCAAAGAGGAACAACATGTTGAACTATGAATGTGGCAGAATTTTATTTCATTTGTTTCCCCAGTGTGTAACTTGAAAATATTGACACAGAGAACCAAACCTTGCCTTGCTTTCAAATTTGCCTGACCACATTGAGTTTCTGCTTCCTGTGTATATACAGCATTTCCATGTATCTGTTTCATCAACCAACAAGTACTTATTTAATATTTACCACACAGTCAGCAATGTGTTAGGTACTGTGAAATGAATGAAATTGCTTGACACAAATATTCACTGGGCCTGGACAAATAGAATTGTGGTTATTTTCAAGGTAAATTAAACCCTTTTCTGTTTTTCTTCTTCATATTGATCCATCAAGCCCCCTTTCCTTCAAACAAAGATAGAAGTTTATCATTAAAAACACTGCTTATATTTCCTAATCTCCTTCTATACTTTCTGCCTTGGCTATATCCATCTCAGGCATTTTGTGGGAAATAGATTTAGTCTTACTGTTATAAATGGTTCTCATTTGTTGGGGTTGTAGATGGGGGTTAGAAGAAGAAAGGGGTAGACTATGTGGAGAAACTAATACAGACCAAGTCTGGTATCTCTATCTTACCCTGTCTTGACTAGGAAGAAGAATTGGACTTTGGGAATGTGATTTAATTCTATGTTTATTTTGTTAGACTGTGAGTGTCCTCTCACCTGAAATAAATTTCAAAAGCAAATATACCATGTGTTGCTTTTTGGAATCATGGCAGTGGACTCTGACTTAAAAAGAATAAAAGTACCTGTGGGTGGGCACATTTCATTTGCAATAGCAAGCAGAACCAAATTGTTGCTCACGTTCCTCTGTAGTTAGCAATTGTTGTACAAGAGCAGGAAAATATTCTAAAAGGAAAAAAAAATTCTGATGTTGGCATTTAAAAATGTTTTTCCACATTTTCTGTTAGACATAATTTTTTCTCATCCAATGAAAGCTTTGGTTTTCTGCTTCACAGTAGAAATGCTAAAAAATCTTTCAGATTTTAGCTTGATGTGTATAAAATTCATAGAGCAAATGTAGAATATTATATAATCCTATAGGAGACATAAGAAAATAAAACCTGTGTTTGGAAGGGTGAGTGGGAGAGGAATACAACTGTCAGCTTAAGGTTTTATGGGCGAGGACTTCGATATTCTAGGAGGATGCTAACTGGGGGACCAGTGATGGGAATCTCACATGTTATGATTTGGTTTTCTGTCATAATTTGCTGTCTTTACATTTGGCATCACTCAAGAAACCTAGTCTTCCTGTAAAGATAGCAAATTATGACAGAAGACCAAATCATAACCTGTGAGATTCCCATCACTGGTCCTTTGACTTTGACTTTGTCCTCTTAGATCTTGAAATCTCCTGGGTCATTTACTCTTTGTCAGGGTGGATGCTACAGGTATCCTGATTGACATTTCATTTTCATCATCTATTAGAAAAGAGTTGGATAGGTGAAGAACCTGATTCAAGAAGCTGGGTATAGAATTTGAGATTTGTTTCATCCTACACTGACCTGAACCTGATAACTACAGAATCCAGTCGTTGGGCTGAAATTGGCTGGAATGTCTCATATCCCTCACCTCTTAAAAACATACCTATATCCACCAGGCCAGGCATGATGACTCATCCTTGTAATCCCAGAGCTTTGGGAGGCCAAGGCAGGAGGATTGCCTGAGTTCAGGACTTTGACAGCAGCCTGCAAAACAGCAAAATCCTGTCTCTATGAAAATTTAAAAATTAGCTGGGTACAATGGCATGCATTTGTAGTCCTAGCTACTCAGGAGGCTGAGGTGGGAGGATCACTTGAGCCTAGGATTTAGAGGCTGCGGTGAGCTATAATTACATGAGCATATGTATATAATATGCACTCCAGCCTCAGCAACAGAATAAGACCTTGTCTCCAAAACAAAACAAAACAATTATCCATATTTATACCTATATTCATTCTATTGTACTTCAAAATTTAAAACTAAATGGTGATCTAAGATCCTGATTAGAGATACTTTCTGTAGCTGAAATGATAGTTTCTGGCCAAGGCACTCTAAAGGCCAGCATGGGTATCAGCTAATGGTGCACCAGTCATGGGTAGGGGGTAGCTCAGCATCAGTTTCCCATTCAAGCCTATTGGTGATCACTAGTCATTTTCATATAGATGACATCTTGTTAGCAATGTTATTATTGGAAACACAAGCATTTCCTTGACTCTTGATTTAGGTAGAGGCGTGGTCTGATTTCAGTCCCTGAATCATGAACTTGGGCTTTTAAGTGATGTGGTCTGGAATTCCTCTTGGAAGAAACATTTATGTAAACAACTTTTACTTTGTGTATGTGTGGTGGGGAGAGGTGAGTAGGAGGGTATATTCCCTTTGAAAAAGTTGATTTTAAGATAATATTAATTTTATTAGGTTGTTAGTCATTGTCCCTGGAGAAAATCAGCACAGCCAATTGTAGGTTTGAACAGAGTATAAAGGAATTATTTTAAATGGTATGGGGAGGGTTAAGGAAAGAACTAAGGGTGGTGAAGAAACCCAGGTCTAATGAAGGTAGAGCTATTACTAATCTTAAGCCTGAAGGGGGAGGGGATGGAAAGTGGGAACCAGGTAATGTAGCTACAGCTGAACAGAGGAAGCAGGGGCTTCTCCTGGAGCCTTTGGTAAAGAGATGCTCTTTTAAGGTGTCAGGGGGTTGGGGGTGTGATAAACATCCTGCCCTCCAGTCTCCTGCTGCTTTGATTGGTTGATCCCAGTGGGGAGCCAGAGTGAAATGGGAGATCTCTGATGCAGTACATGCTGGTCAGCCTTCTGGGATGTGTAAGAGGGCTATAGAAGGTGGAATGTAGACCTGGAAGGGAAAACAAACATACTGGGCATGACTAGTGATCACAGGGATGGTATGGTAGGGTGAACAGTAGTACTAGAACTATGATTATGTAAGATGGTAACATTAGGTGAGAATGGCTGAAGAGTATATAAGAACTCTATATTATTTTTGCAACTCATCTGTAAATCTAAAATTATTTCAAAATAAGCTTGCACATCCTTGAGAGGGGATGCATTTATACATCATGAAATTAGATAGTCTTTTTTTTTTTTTTTTTTTAAAGACAGGGTTTCACCATGTTGGTCAGGCTGGTCTTGAACTCCTGACCTCAGGTGATCCACCGGCCTTGGCCTCCAAAGTGCTTGGATTACAGGCATGAGCTACCACGCCCGGCTATTAGATAGTCTTTTTTGGCTGGCAAGGAATATTTTCTAGCTATTTGATTAAAAAATATCATCACATTAGTATTTGGAAAAACTGGGTGAACATATATAAAGAAATGTCAGTGGATATTAAATCAGGAGAATGTCTCCAGAGGCTAATTTTGAAAAGGCAAAATAAAAACTAAGGGATCTTCCAGCAGGGTCCGGCACTGCCCAGGTTTTCTCTGTTTCCTTTATTCCTCAATGATGCTGATAAAGAAGAAGTGGGGCCAGGCACAGTGGTTCACTCCTGTAATCCCAGCACTTTGGGAGGCCAAGGTGGGCAGATCACCTGAGGTCAGGAGTTGGAGACCAGCCTCACCAACATGGAGAAGCCCCATCTCTACTAAAAATATGAAAATTAGCCAGGCATGGTGTGGCCTTCCTGTAATCCCAGCTAGTCAGGAAGCTGAGGCAGGAGAATCACTTGAGGCAGAGGTTGCGGTGAGCTGAGATTGCACCATTTGCACTTCAGCCTGGCCAACAAGAGAGAAACTCTGTCTCCAAAAAAACAAAAAAAGAAAAGCAAGTGTGGGGGTGGGGTGGATGGGGCTGTGGGACCTATAACTTACTAGGAGAAAGGACAGGATGCTTCCATATGGCTATACTTATATTCTTTTTGAAATGCATTTTGAAAGGAGAACCACATCATAAATAAATCACATTCATTTATGATCTTGATTTGCATGACATAGTGATACTGAAATTTAGTACCATTGCCTAGCACATATTAAATGCTCAATAAGTACCCCTTTCTGAAAAACACTATTATTAACATTCAAACAGTCAATGTTTTTTGAGCACATA